TCTAGACGATTTGCTTTCTGGTTCTCTCGAAATCTTGTTGGTACCTTCACATTTTGCGCCAGAGGGAGATCGAGTGTGAGGTCCAGTAGCTTATTGCTGAAAGAGGCTGGTCCTCCGTTAACTGCCATAGTTTCCCACTCTATTGCAGTTCAAATGTGTGCAGAGGTGCTCAAGGTGTGCAATCAAACTTTTAATTGGATCGGGCCCACTACTCTATGAAACACGATTATCTAATCTCGACTTGCTTTCTAAGTTATGGGGAACTACGAGGCGACCTGACACAAACTTTCCACATCATGCGCGGTCGCGACCGTGGTCTTGTGCCTTGAGACATTCTCCGGTTAGCAAGCACTTCGAAACTGCAAGTGCACTAGAGCTAGACTTAACATAAGGAAGTTCTTCCCGAACGGAATGATCGAAGCTGGAAACACTGCCTGCAGATACCGTTATGTCTACAGCAGCTGACAAGGCCGACTTCCAAAAATATTTGTCGATTGGATGAATGGTCACGTAGAAGCCTCCCACACTTCAGTTTGGACAAATGCACCATAATACATCTCGCAAACCGAAGTCGTGTCTCTAGTACACGACAATAACATCTGAGAGGAATGCCATTCCGAGAAGCAGGAACAGAGGAAAGTGTCGGAGTTTGGATTGCAGACACCCTAAAACCTTCTACATAATTTTTTAGGGTGGCTAATGCATCGACCTCAGTGAAGAAGACCTCTCCAAGGTCTTTGGCACGTTTGTAAGGCAGCATCTTTATCATGCAACCCAGGCCCTAAGATCCTGAACTCAGCAGAATTACAATCTACTCGGTAGGCTGCAGAGGCTAGACACAAAATCAGTGCGAGGTCAAAGTTCACTGCCGTGCGAGATCCGCCTAAATGACCACAATCTCTATTCTCTGAGTTATAGGCAGTTGCGCGGAGAGTTGATAAAACTTTCCGCATGATGGGTTGCTTGGACTGCATCCTTCAGTGTGACGACTTTTTCCACCTTACCCCTACAAAAAACATCCGGGGAATCCTTTCAAACTACGTGTGCCACAAGGGACATTGGGTGTGAGTTAATATATTTTCTCCAATAGTGTGGTTGAACCGTGGAATAACCTGCCAAAGGAGATTGTAATGTCCCAATGCGCGGAGACAGTTAAACATCGGCTCGGCAGATATATAGTATAAAAGAGGTTTATATAGCATCTCTTGGGCACTGTCAGTCTCCTCTGAACACCGGAAGAAAGCCTAAACCGAACTCATCCATTTCAGGTGCTTTTTAACTCCATCTGTCTTGGGTGTATGCTAGCCAGAAGAGCGTGAAGTGGGATTAGGTTTATGATGAAAATCTCAGTTTTGAGGCAAAATAATAACAAAAGTTGGGGCGAACGAACGCTATATGCAATAAAGAAATTGAAGTTTGGAGTTTGGTAGTTGTTAGGGTCATGAATATATTGCCGTTCGCGGGACTTAAAGAACTTTGACATCGGCTTGATTTTGAAATTCTCTTCGAGTTGATTAAATTTGGGAGTCTGCTAGTTTCTAGCTGTTGTAGAAGGTTGTAGAAAGTTAGCCGAGGGAAACCTTTTTATTGAAAGTTCTAGAGTGCCCGCCCCTAACCCCTTTGGGTGTGCGCGCGCCAACTTTTCCCGTATTCGTACTATAGGTACTTAGTCACAATTTAACGTCTTATAAAAAATTATGCATATAATTAATCTATATAAACATACATAAATGGTAATATCTGCAGCTTAAGCTTGGTTAACTTTCCAACCAGACCTATTCCCAACCAATCGTAATGGTGGATTCAAACTCGACGCTTGAATAAGTTGTAAATACGGGCTGGGATTAACTTCCAGAATCCCGTGGCAAGCTGCCGCCCTTCTGACGAGGGACCTCCGTCGTCGTCTTCGGCGGATCTCTGTGCTCTCCGCCGTCCCCCGTGGGTAATCATCCCATCCCAGTCTATTTTGTAATTATCTTCCCTTCTTAGTTTCTTTTTGCATATAGGTCGTCCATTACACAATAATCCAACAACCCAGACCAAGGAGTCCTTCCTGTGGTCAAAATCTATCATAATGAAGGCTGGGCCTCTTCGACGAAACGATCACTGACAGTTATTCCCGCAAATGCACAAAGCTCTTCAACAAACTCGACGAACTAGGAGACTTAGTAGATGAACTTAAACCAGACATTACGGATTTCACCTAGACGTGACTTTCTGAAGATATCGCAGACTCAGAAATATCAGTCTACACAAACGAGGCAACGTCCCTTCCTGAATCCACAAAGGAACTGTCGACCCCAAGCATCAGTGATATACTCTTCTCAGAAGGCATTGTCCGAAGAGAATTAGAGGCATTGAACGAATCGAAGTCGACAGGACCAGGCCAGATTCTACCCAATCTTTTCAAAGAACTTGCCGGTAAACTTTCTGTGCCTTTGTCGATGCTCTTTCAAACGCCATTTGATACTGGAACACCTCCTTTCGATAAGAAGCTGGCGCATATTACTCCGCTATACAAAGGAGGTAGCAGAGCAATGACGACAAATTACAGGCCCATAAGCTTGGCATGTATTCTCTGCAAAGTTATGGAAAGGATCATGAAGTGTGAAATGATGCATCTCCTGGAAGTTCACGGCCTGCTATTGAAATGCCAACACGGGTTCCGGAAGGGAAGATCATACACAATAAACTTGCTGCAATCTCTCCAGAGCTGGACCCAAGCTCTCGACGACAGGCACGAGGTTCACATACCTTTCATTCACCAGAAGCTGTTAAAAAATAAGAAAAGTAGGGATCAGCGACAACTTTGTCAGATGGATCGAAAAATCCCCGTGGGTCGACACCAAGTTGTGTGCATCGGTCAAGGGATATCAAATCCTGCTGTCGTCGAGATTGGTGCTTCCAGGATCCAGTACTGGGACCAATTTTGTTCCTTATATACGCGGACGATCCCGCAAGAACTTAAGACTGCGAAGCAGCAATGTTTGCCGATGACATGAAGGTGTGAAGTGTAATCCAGGATCCTGCCGACTAAGACAGACAGCAGATGAACCTAAATCGGTTGGAAGAGTGGTCAAACTGTTGGCTCCTGCGGTTCAGAGTTGGTAAGTGTACCATACTTCGCCTAGGCAACACAGCCAGATGCGTCAGCACAACAGACTACTTTCTGGGCGGTGCAGCATTACAAGACTGTGAAGCTCATAAGGACCTCATTGTGCTGAAGACGAGTTCCCTAAAACTATCTACTCATTGTTTGATAGTGGGAAAAGCGCAATGTCCGTACTGTACGCCATCAAGTGTGAGTTTGTGGATTTTGACGCAGATGCTTTTTGAAAGACATTCGGAACATTAGTCCAGCCGCACTTGGTACGGCATACAAGCCTGGAAACCGTTGCCGGTTGAGGATCAAAACTGCCTCGAAAGAGTTCAGGGGAGAGCCACAAAGATGGTTAGGGGTCAAAACTCCTTTCCTTATGCAACCCGCCAAGTAAATCTGAACCTCTTCCCTTTGAGGTACACGCAGCGTCGCTCGGATCTCTTGCAAGCATTCCGCATTGTAAAGGAGAGATAGACCAAGCCGAGGAGGAGTCATAATTTATGTCTCTTGCATGCTGACCGCTATGGCTGAGGTACATAATACGTTTCGGAATGTGGAACTGTTAAGCATTACTATATCTGCTAAGTGTGTCCTACCACCGACCCTTTCGGTGGTTTACTGCTCGCCTAACCAGACTTCTGACCAAAAGTTCATTCTCATAACCGAATTGTATAAAGCCAGTGAGAAGAAAGGTATACTTACCGTTAGGAATTTTAACGCCCCTGGCACTGATTGGCAAACATGGAATGTGCAAGGACCGCAAGACAACATTAATCACAAGCTACTACAATGGGCAACGGACAAATTTCTCTGCCAGAACGTTACCCTCGGAACGCGGGCTCGAGAAGAACAACAGTCCAACTTCCTTGATCTTATTTTCCCCGAGAGGAGGAAAGTGTGTTAGACCTGCAGGACCAACCGCCATTAGATTCGAGCGACCAC